GGGTGGGTGGGCACGAGGCTGCCCAGGGGGGGCTGCGGTGCCCGCCCTGCCCCTCCCGGGGTGCGCCAGCCCCGCCGTGACACCCCCCCCAGCCAGGAGGGTCGTGGCCCCCCGAGATGAGCTCTGTCCCTGGGGACACAGGGGGGCACGGGGGGGTTTCACACCCTGTCCCAGTGAGGGGAGCAGTGCTGAGCCCCCCCTGCATCCACAGCGGCTCTTTGTCCCCAAAAACCCCAAAACCACCCCAGAGAGTGAAGATTTGGGGTGTTGAGGCCCCCTGCACCCACAGCGGCTCCCCCTCCCCAAAAAACCCCAAAACCTCTCAATGTGTGAAGATTTGGGGTGCTGAGCCCCCCTGCAGCCAGAGCGGCTCCTTGTCACCAAAAAACCCTAAAACCACCCCAGAGAGTGGAGATTTGGGGTGCTGCGATCTCCGGGAGGGGAACTGGGCTGGGTGAGCTCAATGTCCCCATCCATCGCTGCCGGGGGGGGGTCTCTGCAGCCCCCCCAAACCCTGCGCTGCTCACTGGGGTCCCCCCGGCGCTTTGGGGCGTCCCTGGGGCCGGGCACAGCCGGCAGTCCCTGCCTGGTGGCACCTCCTGGTGGCGCTGGCTCTGTCCCCCCGCCCGGGGCCGTGTCCCCACCGCCCGTGGGGACACCCGGGAGATGTCACCGCTCGCTCCCCTCCAATCCCGCCCCTCTCAGCCCCCCCCCCCAGCTGGGGCTGCTGGAGCAGAGCCACCTCCGGAGCCGCCTGGCCCTGGGGACAATGCAAGGACCAGCAGGGGACCGCGGGGTTGATTGGCCGCGTCCTGCCTGTCCCCTCGGCCAGACCCCCGAGCAGCCCCCTCCTCTTCCTCCTCCTCCTCCTCCTCCTCTCCGTGCCTTAAAAGCCCGGCAGCCCTTCCCCAGCCCCTGCAGCCCAGCGGGGCTCTGCACGCCGAGGAGGAGGAGGAGGAGGAGGAGGAAGGACAGGGGGTACGTCCGTGCCGGCCTCGCTTGGCTCCTCCGGAGCCCCCCCCGGGCTGGGGCAGCGGGGGGATGGGAGCGTTTGGGGGCTGCAGGGGGCTCGGAGCACTGGGAAAGGGCAGATCTGGGGGAAAACAGCCGGAATTTGGGAGCAGCATCCTCAGGGTGGAGTGAAGACACTCTGGGCTGGGTGGTGGATTTGGGATTTGGGATTGGGAAAGGCTGGAGGGGGTCGGGACCCTCGCCTTGCTCTGCCGTGGGTGTCCCGCGGGAGGGAAGCCTGGAGGGAGGGAATTCTCCTGTGGGAATGGGCCCTGGAGGGTTTGGATGTGGAGCTGCCAGGACTGGGGGATGTCCCCGTGCTGTCACACGGATCCCGTGGTCTCTGGCCCGCCAGGATGTCGGAAAAGCAGATTTAGACCGGGATTTAGCCTGGATGTGGGAGCAGAAGGGAGGAGCAGCAGTTCCGGGGCTGCTGGGGCTGGTTCTCCTCCACTGCTGGGCTTGGTGGGCCAGTGGCCGGTTCCACCCATTGCCACGAGAGCTGTGACCCCCTCATCAACCCCCGACCCCCTCCGCACCCCCGGGGCTGGGAAAGCCGGGCAGCCCCGGCAGCCCCGCGGGGCCTCTCCTGCACAGCCGAGCGTGAAATGCTCTGAAAAGGGTCACGAATGTCCCCAGGGCCGGGACAGCGGCTGTCTGTCCCTTCCCGGATCTAGGGCTGTCTGTTCCCCCCGGGGCTGCTTGTCCCCTCCCAGGGATGTGGGGTTGGGGGGTTGGGGTTTGGGGTTGTCTGTCCACCCCAGGGTTTTGGGCTGTCTGTCCCACCCAGGGTTGGGGGCTGTCTGTCCCCTCCCGGGGCTGTCTGTCCCCTCCCAGGGCTGTCTGTCCCCCCAGGGTTTGGGGCTGTCTGTCCCCTCCCGGGGCTGTCTGTCCCCCCAGGGTTTGGGCTGCCTGTCCCCTCCCGGGGCTGTCTGTCCTGTCTGTCCCCCCAGGATTTGGGCTGTCTGTCCCCTCCCGAGGCTGTCTGTCCTGTCTGTCCCCCCAGGATTGGGTCACGAATGTCCCCAGGGCCGGGACAGCGGCTGTCTGTCCCTTCCCGGATCTAGGGCTGTCTGTTCCCCCCGGGGCTGCTTGTCCCCTCCCAGGGATGTGGGGTTGGGGGGTTGGGGTTTGGGGTTGTCTGTCCACCCCAGGGTTTGGGGCTGTCTGTCCCACCCAGGGTTGGGGGCTGTCTGTCCCCTCCCGGGGCTGTCTGTCCCCCCAGGGTTTGGGCTGCCTGTCCCCTCCCGGGGCTGTCTGTCCTGTCTGTCCCCCCAGGGTTTGGGGCTGTCTGTCCCCTCCAGGGGCTCTCTGTCCCCCCAGGATTTGGGCTGCCTGTCCCCTCCACCCCGGGGCTGTCCCCGCCGCATCCCGGCCCCGCACCCAGCCCTTGGTGACATTCCAGGTGCCATCCCTCGGCGCGGTGACCCCGGCCAGGTGCAGGATGTGTCCCCTGGGCTGGCTGGGGGTGGCCAGCCTGTGCCTGGGGACACTTTGGGCTGTCCCAGCCAAGGAGAGGAGGAAGGTGGAGAAGCCCAAGGCTGAGCTGACCCTCTATGAAAACCTGGATTTGGACAGCTACGACGTGACCTTGGATAACTACGGGGACATCCTGGACCTGAGCAACTACGAGGAGCTCTATGACTATGGGGACCTTGTCCCGAAGGTGAGGGGGACACAGGAGAGCCCCTGGCTGCATCCCAGGACAGGGATTTGGTGCCAGGGAGGGATGTGGCACCGCAGGAGGAGCAGCCCTGGCAGCTCTCCCGGGGCTGGGCAAGGTTTGATCCAAGCCAAACCTCTGCCAGCTCTTGGATGTGAGGATTCCTTCATCCCTCTGGCCAGGAGGGGGTTCCTCAGAGAGCTTGGAGAGCTTCCCAAGAAGGAATTAATGACCCCAACCCAGGGCCTGTGACCTTGTCAGTGCCATCCACCCCGGAGGGGACAAGTCACCCCCGCTCACACCCAGCCATGCTTGCAGATCGAGGTTGGCACCTTGGCTCCTCGCCCCAAGGACCCCAAAACCCTCCCAGAGCTGGGTGAAACCACGGCTGGAACCCCAAATCTGCAGCCCCCGAGCGGTGCTGGCCCCGTGCCTCCTGCGCCCATCCCCGGGCAGGGTGAGTTGTGCTCCCTTGGGATGTCACACAGGTGGAGTTTTGAGGGGAAAAATGGGAATTCTGGTGCTGCCAGCAGCTCTTTGCAGGGTTTTGGGGTTGAGTTTGCTCACACAGCCAGGCAGGAGGGCTGCAGAGAGAGAAATTACTGAGAAAAAATGAACTCCAGCAAAGCAGCGAGGCTTTAATGAGCAGAGGCTTTGCGACGGTGGCAATTAGATTAGTGACAATTAAAATCCCGCAGCGAGGATAAATATCTTTATTCCTTTTCTGTCACTCCAGGCCGGGAAAAATTAAGTGGGAGGAGAAAGGAAATTGGTGCTGAGCTGCTCTGAACCCCCCCCTCGAAGGGGTGGGGAGCCTCGGGGGAGAGGAGGGGGATCAGGTGTGGGGGTGGGCTCGGTTTTACCCGTCCTGTCCCCTGTGCTGGGGCCTTGAGGACAGCTGGGACAGATTTTTCTTGATTCAAAAGAATTTTCTTGAGTTCTGCTTCCCCCAGTGGGAAAATTAAAGGGGCCAGGAGAGCTTTGGGTGTAAAAAGCTGAATTTGGGGGCTTTAACCTCCCCTCGTCCTGCAGGAGGGATTTGATCCTGGGCACTTCATTTATTAACAGGGGTTTTTTTGCTGGGAGTTTCTGGTCCTTCCCTGGATGATGCGGGGCTGTGACAGCTCCGGGTGCCACCAACTCCGTGTCCCCATGGCAGGGTGGGCAGATCCTGCTGTTCTGGGGTCTTTTATGGGGTCAGGGGGCTGTGACAGCTCTGGGTGTCACAAACTCTGTGTCCCCATAGCCGGGCGGACTCCTTCTTCTGTTCTGGGGTATTTTATGGATTTGGGGGGTTGTGACAGTTTTGGTGTCATGGAATTTGTGTCTTCACAGAGTGGGCACATCCTCCCACTATTCTGGGGACTTTTATGGGGTCAGGGAGCTGTGACAGCTCTGGTGTCACAAACTCTGTGTCCCCAGAGTGTGGGCAGGGTGGGCACATCCTCTCACTGCTGTGGGGTATTTTATGGGGTCAGGGGGCTGTGACAGCTCCGTGTGTCACCGATCCCTGTCCCCACAGGGTGGGCATATCCTCCCTCTGCTCTGGGGTATTTTATGGGGTCAGGGGGCTGTGACAGCTCCGTGTGTCACCGATCCCTGTCCCCACAGCTGGCTGGGCTCCTCCTGGTGCTCTGGGGTATTTTATGGGGTCAGGGGGCTGTGACAGCTCCGTGTGTCACAGATCCCTGTCCCCACAGCCAGCTGGGCTCCTCCAGCAGCTCTGGGGTATTTTATGGGGTCGGGGCTTGTTTCCACGCACCCCCAGGGCTGCCCAGCTGCCTGCTGTGCCTGTGCCTTGGCTCCTCCGTGTACTGCGATGACGCCGGGCTGGAGCGGATCCCGGCGCTGCCCCCGGACACCGCGTACCTCTACGCCCGCTTCAACCGCATCGCCGCCGTCCGCGCCGGCGACTTCCGCGGCCTCGGTACGTCGGGGTCACCACCCCACGCGGGAAAAATCCCCCACAGCGGCATTGGAACCGGGAAGTTAAAAAGCAGGATTTTGTCAGAATGTTAGGGGAATTAATCCACGAGCATCAGAGGTTTGTGTTCAAAAAGGAGACAGAGGAGTGCTTTGACTTTATTCCAATAAAGGGAGAGGCTGTGGGGCATTCCCCTGGGATGTCTCAAATTTTTGGAAGATGAAGCCTCCTTTTTATCTAGCAGACCCACAGCTTGTTTGGAAAGACAAATCCCTGATTCCTCTCAAGAAGAATAAGTTGAAAAGTAAAAAAATCAGAATTTTATCCTGGCAGTATCTATGGGCATACAAGGAATTGAATTTTGCATTTTTTATTGGGTTAATTAATTGGGATATTTAACAGGTATATTTGGATTTTGACAGTTTTATAGGGTTAATTAATTGGGATATTTAACAGGTATATTAGGATTTTGACAGTTTTATAAGGTTAATTAATTGGGATATTTAATTGGTGTGTCCAATAGAAGGTTCAGTTGTTTCACCCCTGCGTCAGCCCCACTCTGCCCCACTTCTTATTGTAGGTCCCCTCCTTGGAATAACACCAGACATTCCAGGAATGTGTTTGGAAGGTCAGCTGATTGTTCTAGAATCTGAGAGAAAGGGTGGCAAAAGCACCAGAGCTAAGGAGCCGTAAAACAGCACTCAACAAAGTGAATTAATATATGAAAAATGCATAAAAATCATCACTGCAACAAGGGAAAAACCAGGATTTGGATGGGGAAATGCAGAATTTGGATGGGGAATGAGGGGAATAAAGCGCCGTGGCTTTGTCCCTGTTCTCCTCCTGCCCTCAGAGAAGCTGAAGCGCATCGACCTGAGCAGCAATTCCATCTCGTGGGCGGACGCGGACGCGTTCCGGTGGCTGCCCAGCCTGCAGGAGCTGCTGCTGCCCGAGAACCGCCTGACGGCGCTGCCCGAGCTGCCCCGCAGCATCGTCCGCCTGGACGCGCGCCTCAACCGCATCGCCAGCGCCGGGCTGCGCCCCGAGGCCTTCCGCGTGCGTCCCGCGGCTGGGGGTGCCAGCCCCGGGGGGACAGGGGCGGGACGAGGGGGGCAGCTCCAGGGGGGTCAGCTCCAGGGGGTTCATCTTTAGGAGGTTCAGCTCTTGGGGGTTCATCTTTAGGGGGTTCAACTCTTGGGTGTTCATCTCTTGGGGGTTCATCTTTAGGAGGTTCAACTCTTGGGGGTTCAACTCTTGGGGGTTCATCTTTAGGAGGTTCAACTCTTGGGGGTTCAGCTCTTGGGGGTTCATCTTTAGGAGGTTCAACTTTTGGGGGTTCATCTTTAGGAGGTTCATCTCTTGGGGGTTCAACTCTTCGGGGTTCATCTTTAGAAGGTTCAACTCTTGGGGGTTGTTCTCTTGGGGGTTGATCTCTTGGGGGTTCATTTTTAGGAGGTTCAGCTTTTGGGAGTTCATCTCTTGGGGGTTCATCTTTAGGAGGTTCATTGGTTCATCTCTATTGGGATTCATCTCTTGGGAGTTCATCTTTAAGGGGCTCATCTTTAGGGGGGTTGATCTCTAGGTTAATCTCTAAGGGGGTTCATCTTAAGGGGTTAATCTCTAAGGGTCCATCTCTAAGGGGGTTCATCTCTAGGGGGTTCATCTCTAGAGGGTTCATTGGTTCATCACTAGGGGGTTCATCTCTAGGGGTTCATCCCTGTTGGGGTTCACCTCTTTGCTCTCCCTGCAGGACCTGAAGCAGCTGCAGTTCCTCCATCTCTCCGATAACCAGCTGGATTTTATCCCGGTGCCCCTTCCCGAGAGCCTGCGCTCCCTGCACCTCCAGGTGGGATGGGGTTGGCCTGCACCTGAGCCTAGCAGAGTTCTCCTCCCTCTCCCTCTCACCCTCCTCTTCCTCCTCACCCTCCTCTTTTTTCTCCTCCTCCTCTTCCTCATCCTCTTCTTCCTTGTCCTTGCCCTTGTCCTGATCCTGGTCCCCCTTATCCTGGGCCTAGGCCTGGGCCTGGTCCTCCCCTCATCCCTTTGACTCAGAATTTGTCCCTTTCCCTGCACTTCCAGGTGGGATGAGGTTTACCTGAGTTTAGCAGATCACACCTCTTCTGTCCCCAGGTCCAGCTGTGCAGCTCCAGGGAGGTGTGGCACATCCAGGTGTGACGTGGGCACAGCTGGATCATCGCCATGAGCTCCCAAAGAGGGCAAAACTCAAAATCCCCGCACAGGGCAACTGGAATCTTCCATCCCCTCATTCCGCTGCAGTCCTGGAAACAGGGACTGGGAGCTGCCCTGGAACTGGGTGGGATCTCCAGCACCCCTGGATTTGGGAGGGTATCCCTGGATTTGGGATGGTATCCCTGGATTTGGGATGGTATCCATGGATTTGGGAGGGTATCCATACATTTTCGATTATATAAATGGATTTGGGAGTGTATCCATGGATTTGGGAGGGCATCTATGGATTTGGGATTGTATAAATGTATTTGGGATGGTATCCATGGATTTGGGATGGCACCCATGGATTTAGGAGGGTACCCATGGATTTAGGAGGGTACCCATGGATTTGGGACGGTACCCATGGATTTGGAGCTGCAGAGAACCCTGGAGACCCCCGAGTCCCCCAGCCCCACCAGGAGCAGATCCCCGGGCTGGAGCTGACACCTCCGGGCTCATCCCGGCTCCCCGCGGCCACGGGAGCTGCCCAGCCCTGTGGGATATTTTCAACGCCGTGGATTCATCCCTCATATTTTTATCCACATGTAAGGAACACCGCGAGGGGGATGACACATCCCTGGAGAATCCAGAGCCCTGAACTGAAACCACGGAGCTCAGCCCACATCCTCGGAGCCCGGGGAGGCATCCGAAGGCGGCTGGAGAAAACCTGCCAAGAGGATCCGGCTCCTCATCCGCAGGGACGCGGCGCCCGCGGCGCTGGCACGGTGTGGGCACCTCCTCTCGCCCCTTTTCCGTGCAAAACCCAGCCCAGGCGTGGATTGTTGACCCAAAATCCTTGGGAAATGGGAATTTGGAGTTGTTTTATCCAGAATTCCAGGATCTGCTGCCGCTGTTGTTGTGTCACCCTTCAGCCCACGGATCTGCTGCCCCCTCATCCTCCTCCATCCCACCCACCCTTCCAACACCTTCCCACCAGCCTTTATCCCGCTGATCCCATGGGATGGAGCCCCCAGCGCCCCCTGCTCAAATCCAGCCCTGCCTCTGCCCCTCCAGAGCTCTGGAAAAGGTGGGACCCCCCTGTCCCATCCTGTCCCCGGGGCTGAGGGGACCCCAAAGTCACCCAAGGCTCCTAAATCTCAACTCTCCTGCAGCAAATCCCCCCCAGAGCTGCTCATTTCTTTTGGAAATGTTGGGATTTCTGCAAATCAGGCTCCAGCAGGAGGGAATCGGCCGAATTTCCCCAGCGGGTCCTTCGCCTTGGTCCCGCTAGAGGGCAAAGGCAGCGCCGGGAATGTCGGACCTTCCCTTCGGAGCCCTCTCTCCCTCCTGGAGCCTTCGGGTCTCCGGGAATGCCCGCCGGGACCGGGAACAGCCCGGGAATGATCCGGGGAAGGGCTCAGAGGAGCTGCAGGGGCTGGGCTGCGGCAGCAGGGTGAGGGCAGCACGGGGATGGCTCCAGGATTTACAGAAATCCCAAATTTCCGAGAGCAGCGAGTGGCCCTGGGGGGCTCTGCTGGGGCAGAGTTGGGGTTCAGCCTTGGGTGGGTTTTGTGTCCCTGTCACCCTCGGGGAGGAGGGACCAGGAGGGGCCGAGCTGGGGCTGTTGTAGCCTCGGTTATTGATTATTGGAGCAGTTATTGATCGCGCCCTCGTGTCCTCGCTGGGAACAGCCATCCCCCTCCTGCCACTCGCGACTGTCCCCAGGGCAGGGACTGTCCCCAGGCCCTGCTCGAGCACCGGGATCCTGTCCTGGAGCAGCCAGGAGGGCACAGAGCCCTCCCCGGGGCTGCCATCGGGGCTCCGCATCCCTGTCCTCCCCTCCATCCCTGCTGCCTCGCCCGGGGAGCGTTTCCATGCGGATTCCTGGCTCTGCCTCCCTCCTCCCTTGTCGCTGTGCCGCTCAAGGTCACCTTCCCTCGGCGGGGCTGGGCTGTCACTTATTGATCGCTCGGCTCTGGCAGCGCCGGCTCGCAGCGCTCCCGAGCCCCCGCCAGCTCAGCATCCTGCGGCTGCTCCAGATGGCCCCCGCCCCCTCTCCTCCTCCTCCTCCTCCTCCTCCGTCCTGCCCTCCCCGCTCCGCTCCCAGCCCCAGAACAGAGACAGAATTTGGGGAATTCTCCAAATGTCCCTGGAGAGCGGGACCCGCTCCTTCTCTGCCCTTGCGGGAGGAGCTGGGACCGCGGGTGACATCCCTGGGGGACAGCGGGTGACATCCCTGGGGCACAGAGTGTGACATCCCTGGGGGACAGCGGGTGACATCCCTGGGGCACAGAGTGTGACATCCCTGGGGGACAGCAGGTGACATCCCTGGGGACACAGGGACTGTGTGTGACACCCCTGGGGCACAGCGTGTGACATCCCTGGGGGCTCTGTGTGACATCCCTGGGGACAGCGTGTGACACCCCTGGGGACCCCGTGTGTGCCCAGCAGTTCCCTCTATCCCTTCAGCAGTTTCCAGCTCCAGCTCCCCATTCCCAATTCCCTCTCCCTGCTCCTCGCCCAAATTTCCTCTCCTTTTCCCCCCACTGGGAGCAGCCCGGTGTCCCTTGGCCACCACGTGGGGACAGAGCTGTCCCCTGGTGTCCCCTTGCAGCTCAGGGATGTGAAACGGCAACCAGGGAAGGACACGGAACTTCTCAGCCTCGTGGGCCCTGAAAAAGCTGGGAAAATCCCCCAGAATGACCAAAACCTCATTTTCCTGCCCCAATCCCAACGGGGCCATTGCTGGAGTCATTAATTCCCCCCGGGATTAACAGATTATTCTCATTATTAATGGTGCTGCTCTAATTCCAGATGAGTCATTAATTCCCCCCGGGATTAACAGATTATTCTCATTATTAATGGTGCTGCTCTAATCCCTTTTTTTTTTTTTTTTTCCAGAATATCCCAGCTCTGGGATTGATTAGGTGGGAGCAGGGGATGAAAGGGACACCCATTAATTATCCCGGAGGTGTGGACAGCTCTGGGGTCCCTCCAGGGAAACTCAACAATGGGAATGGGAACGGGATGGGGGGAGCAGCCTGAGCTTTTCTTCTCCCAATTTTCCCCTCCACCACTGGAAAAACGACAACAAAAAACAAAACAAAACCAAAAATTTAAAAGAAAAAAAAAAAAAGGAGGAGGGAAAAACGCATCAAAACACAGCAAACACATTCCTTGTTTTTTTCCACATCCCCCTCCCCCTCGAACTGTATAAAAATAATCCGTAGAAACTCAGAAATTCAGATTTCTCCGGCTCAGCCCCCTCCCTGCAGCACTCCCAAGGGACTGGGGGTTCCTGCAGCATCCCGGGGCTTTCCTGGCTTTCTCTGGGATCGGGATCCCGTGCCCTGAGCGGCTCGGGGTGGGAGATGTGATTGCCACACCGCTATTTTTAGCAGGCACGCGTTAGGTCCTGTCAACAGGAGCCCTGACAAAGCCTGGGAAGAGCTCCGGGATGGGAAGCGTGAATTGCCGGGAATGCGGGCCCGGGATGAACCCGGCTCTGAGGGGTCTGCGTCTGGGGGAAGGGGTTTGGGGTGCTGGGGTGGGATGGGGGATGCACAGCAGGGGGAGGCGGTGGCAGCCAGGAGTGGCAGTGTCACCTCCTTGGGGGGTGACAGCAGCGTGGCCCCCCAAAAGAGGGAATGTTCTCCCACCCTGCTGCTGCTCCCAACCCAAGGGCTCCTGGATCCCACCCTGGGGGGTCCTGGAGAAGGGAAAATTTCCTCCAGCCCCATTCCCAGGGGATCATCTCCCATCTGGGCATGGAAAAGTGACGGAATGGAGGAAAACTCCAGCGGGAGCGGCTCTTCCACGCCTCAATCCCGGCTTTTCCAAGGACCTCATCCAGCAGCCTGATGGGCACGAGGCTCTCCCCCACTGGCAATTCAGGGTCCCCCCATTTTTGTTTGTCGGTTTTTAAAAAATTTTGACCTAAATCCGAGCTCTTCCAAGCGGGATTTGGGTGGGTTTGGGGGGGATGCTGTGCTGGGGAGGGGTTTGACGGGGCAGCAGCCGGGGAGCCGAGGATGAGGACGGGAGGAGGGGGAGCTCTGATTGATTGATTTTAAAATAACCACGCCGAGCCTGGATCTTCCCTCGCTGTGGGATGTGGAAAACCTGGAGAGGGGGAAGAGAGAAACAGCTCCGAGGGAGCCGAGTGCGAGGACCGCTAATTTATGATCAGAGAAATGCTGGAGCTGGAGGATTGCAGGGAAAGGACCCGGCTGAGCCGAGCAGAAACCCGAGTTCTCCAGGGCTCGGGAAAATCTTCCCCACAAGGAAAACCGTGGGAATGCAGAGCAGGCTCAGCCCAAATTGCTGCTCCAGGAATTATTCCCGACTAAAATGATTTCCCTCCCCTGGTGCTTCCAGCTGCTTTTTGCTGGCCCTGCTCGTTGGGATGAAATTAACTGCGAGGATTTGGGGGAAGTTCCCCCTTTTGCTGGATTATTTTTTGGGGGGATGTTCATTTGTGCACCCAGAGCAGGGTGGGGGAATTTGACTTCCCACATCCCAGAGGAATTTCCATCGGACATTGATTTTTCCCCTGGGGTGTGTGACCCAGGGGTGGCAGCTGGTGTGGCCGCTGGTGGCCCCGCTGTCGCCGTCCCCATGGCTCCTCCCTCTCCTGGACCCTCCCTGGTGACACAGAGATTCCTGGGAGATGCCTTCGATCCCTTCAGGAAAGTGGCACGTGGAGCAAATTGTTCCTGAATTCTGGAACTCCTGGAATCGAGCCGGGACTTGGGACAAACAGGGGGAAAAATAAGGAAAAAAAGAGGAATAAAATAAGGAAAAAAGGGGGGGAATAAGGAAAAAAAGAGCAATACAATAAGGAAAAAAGGGGGGGAAATTATGAAAAAAGGAGAATAAAATAATGGAAAAGGGATTAATAGAATAAAGGGGGAAAGGGAATAAAATAAGGGAAAAAAGAAGAATAAAATAACAGAAAGGGAATAAAATAAGGAGAAAGAGGGAGATGCGGGCAAATGAATGCAGGTGAAAATAAACATCCAGGCAACCTGGACTGGCTGAGGGATGGGAATGCTGGAAGGATCTGGATTGGGAAGTGTCTCCAAAGGGGCTTTTCCCAAGGCTCCCAGTGCCCAGGGCTGTGGGATGGGGTCTGGGATCCCCACACCCAAACCCCGCTGGTTTTTAAGCCCCACGTCCCCTGTGCCCGTGCTGGGGACACCCAGGGCAGGGTGACATTCCTTGGATTTATGGCCTCAAACCCCTCCGATTTTTGAGGGGGCTTTGTCACCATCACCCCGAGCACCAGCGGGGCCGGGTGACACTGCCAGCTGCAGGGGACAGGCTGGGTGTCACCAGCTGCTCCACATCCCGTGATTTTTTTGATTTTCCCACTTCCACACCGCTCCGGGGTCGATTCCATGCTGTGGGATGGTGAAATGTCCCTTCCCTGTCACCCCCTCCGGGTTATTTTGAGCCTTTTCCCAGCTCGTGCTGCCACGGGACTCTGCAGGAGCCCACGGTGTCCCCGTGTGTCCCTCGCCACCCCCAGCCCATTCCTGAACTTTCAGCAGCTCCGGGAAGCAGCTCCATAAATCAGCGGAGAGCCGGGAAATGAAAATCGTTAGGGTGATAAATGGGGTTTATTTCGCTTTCAAGGAGCGGGATCGTGGAAAAGAGCAGGACAGGAGAAGGGAAAAGGAGATGCTGAGTTTCCCATTTGGGAAAAATTGTGGGATAAAGGTGGTGGGATGAGAGGGGGAGGAGGAGAACCGAGGGAATGCTGAGGATTCCTTGCAGGGATGGAGGGAATATGGGAAGGGGTGAGGGTTTTCCAGGTGGCTCTGCGTTTTTGGGGTGCTGTGCTGCACTGCTCAGGGGTGTGCTCACCCCACAAGGGTTTTTCTGCTGTGGAATGGTCCAAATCCACAAGGAAATGTTATCCTTGGATCCAGGTGGGAGGTGATTATCCACTGGACTTGCCAGTGCCCACAGCACTGTGTCCTGTGGCACCCAAATCCTGCAGAACCCAAATGCTGCAGAACCCAAATCCTGCAGAGCCCAAATACTAGAGAACTCAAATACTGCAGGATCCAAATCCTGCAGTATTCAAGTCCCAGAGGATCAACATTCTGCAGAACCCAAATCCCACAGAATCCACATCCCACAGGATCCAAGTCCTGCAAAACCCAAATCCTGCAGCACCCAAATCCCACAGGATCCACATCGTGCAGAACCCAAATCCTGCAGAACCCAAATCTCACACAATCCAAATCCTGCAAAACCCAAATCCTACAGAACCCAAATCCTGCAGAACCCAAATCCTTCAGCACCCACATCCCAACAATTCCTACATCCCTTGGCACCCAAATCCTGCAGAGCCCAATTCCTGCAGCACCCACGTTGTGCAGAACCCAAATCCCACAGGATCCACATCCTGCAGAACCCAATTCCTGCAGAACCCAATTCCTGCAGAACCCAAATCCCTCAGCACCCACATCCCAACAATTCCTGCATCCCTTGGCACCCAAATCCTGCAGCACCCACCTCCCCCAGCCCCACATCCCACACCCCCTCGCCCCCCAGCCCCAGCCCGGCCCCGCAGCAGCTCCCTCAGCCAGGGCAGCCATGCCTGGGATGATTCCAGGATTTGGCCCCAGGATGGCAGCGATGGGAGCCTGCATTAATAAATCAGCACTGCCCCGAGTCACAGGGCATTTCCTGGGATTAATGATTTGGGATGAGGCCAAAAATCCCATTTTCCCCACCCAGTGACGAGTCCCTGCGCACTCTTTGTGCCAAGGTCAGCAACGCCTTTTCCAGCCAAATTTTAAAATTATTGTTAACAAGAATAATCAAGTGTTGGAAATGGATTTTCATTCCCAGCACGGCAATGCCTCCAGGTTCTGCGGAGAGAGGGGGGATGGACACCCCTCATCATAAAAATGGGAATGGAAACAGCATCCCTGTCCCCCAGGAGCCTTTCCCGGCTCTCCCGGGGACTGGAGGGCGTTGGGGACATTCCTTGGCCTCTCCTGGAGTTCCCACCGGGATTTGACACCCCGGGATGTCCAGGAAGGGATGGGGCAGGGAAAACGAGGCCCGGGAGAGCAGGATGCAGGCCCCGGGCGATTTCCCGATGGATGTTTGCGGGTTGCCGTGGCAACGGGAGAGCCGCGCTGGTCCTCGGCTTTCCTTTCCTCAAAGGGAAGAAAGTTTTGTGGTCCCGGCCGCGGGCGGGAGCGGCGCGCGGGGAATGCGGTGGGATCGGAGCTGTGGGATGTGCTGGGAATGAGGGAACAGCACCATGGGATGCCCTGGGAATGAGGGAACAGCATCATGGGATGCCCTGGGAATGAGGGAACAGCACTGGGAATGAAAGATCAGAGCCGCGGGATGCGCTGGGATCGGAGCTGTGGGATGTGCTGGGAATGCGGGAACAGCCCCGTGGGATGCGGTGGGATCAGAGCTGTGGGATGCGGTGGGAATGCGGTGGGATCAGAGCTGTGGGATGCGCTGGGATCGGAGCCTGGGATGCGCTGGGAATGCAGGAACAGCCCCGTGGGAAGCTCAGGCTCTGCTGCCGCCACTCCCACGCGCGTTCAGGGACACAAAACCATCCGAACGCGCCGGGAAAATTCCAACCTAAACCCACCCCGAGGAGCGGGAGAGCCCCGCGCTCTGCTTCACGCTGCCGTGCGGCGATCCAGAGCGGAATTCCAGGGGCTGTGCTCCCGCTCGGGGTCGCTGGTTGTTCCTCTGCAGTCCCCACCTGCGTCCCCCTTGTCCCTTTCTGGGGATAATCCCGGTGCAGCACCAGGATGAAGCCCTGGATGCTCCCCTGGATTCTGAGGAGCAGTTTTGGGGTGGAAGAGGATCCCAAAGACATTCCAAGGTGGATTCCAGGCCCTGGGGAAATCCTGGCCCTGGTTTTCCCCCATTCCCAGCCCAAGGAGAGCAGCCCTGGCTGTCCTGGAAGAAAATCCATCCAAGGAGACACCTCCAGCCAAAGCTCATCCTTGTCCCAATCCAAAAGGGAACCCAGGGGAAATTCCAAATCCTGCTGGAAGCCCAGCCCTGCTCCGGAGCCTCTCCAGCTCTCCCTGCTTTTGCTGGGAAGTTTTATGGCCACTCTCTGTTTGTGATTAATCATTTGGGTTTAATTGCTGCTGCTCCAGCTCAGCCAGGGTTTTATTCCTCCTGGCTGCTTCCCTCAGGATGGAGGAGCCCCGAGCAGGAACAGCCCTGTGGCAGCATGAAGGGCAGTTTGGGATCAGGATCCCGATGGATCAGCATCCCAACAGAGCCCCGGGAGCTCCCTGGACCCACAGCCAGACTGGGGCTGGAAAATGGGATTTTGGTCCAAGTGCTCAGGGTTTGGTTCCAGCTGGGAGCCAGCAGAGCCACCAAGTCCTGCTCAGTGTCCCCACCTGCTCTGTCCCTCCTCCCTGGGGAGGGCACAGCACGGGCTCAGCCACTCCATCAAATTCCCAATCCCAAATTCCTGCCCCAAAGTCATCCCAGGGCCCTGCAGGACCCTGCTGGATGAACTGGTGATCAGGCTGGGAGTGACCCCAAAACCAGCCTGTCCCCACTGTGACCCCAAATCCAGCCAGTCCCCACTGCCACCCCAAAAACCTGGCATGAGAATGGGCACCAGGGCAGCCCAGCCTCACCCTCGGCTGCCGGGCGGGCAGAGGGGACAGCGCGGTGACCCGGGGCCACCAGCAGCGACAGCAGCGACGGCAGCAGGGGATAGAAAAGGCCGCCCTACTTAGCAGGGTTTATATAAGGAACCATCTCCGCGGCAGGATGGGAAAACAGACGGGAACGGGAAAAGCTGCTGGGAGCAGGGGAATCCCTGCTGGTGGGTGAGGTGGCACCCGCGACCCGCGGTGGCACCCGCGAGGGGCGCGGCCACCCCCGGTCCCCGGGCAGCGCTGCCTTTCGAGGGGGGCACAGCCAGCCCCCACCCCCCCTTATGGCTAATTAACACTCATTCATTAATTCACGGCCTCTTACATTGTGTCCTTCCCGCGTTGGGGTGGGGACTGGAGGTGCTGCCCGGGGGTGGCTTTGGGGACATCCCCAAATCCGGGCTGTGCCGGAGCCTTTCCCTGCTGGCCCACGGTGACCGCCGGGCTGGAAAGGAGCCGGGAGAGCGGCACCTCGGCCAGCAGGTTCGCTCCCCTTATGGAAAGGCATTTGGGATGTGTTTATTCCTGTCGGAGCCCTTGGCCCGTGGCGGGGAGCGGGATTAATCCGGGAGGAGCTGCCAAGTTCCCCCGAGAGGCACAAGAGGCTGGATTTGGGGGGCTCCGGGCCGCGGGGGAGAACTGGGGGGTCCCGTTGGAGCAGGGGGGTGATGGGTGGGTGTTTTCCTTTCTCTCAGGGATCCCAGGAGGAGCAGCCACAGAGGGAAATGGAATGGAGGAAAGGGAAGAGAAATCCCCGGGATCACTCTGGGCTCTGAAGCGGAGTTTTGGGACAGATCCTGTGCCAGCCTGGCTGCTCCTCGCTCAGGGCACGGTCACAGCCGGGCTGGGCGAGCTCCGCAGCTCCAGGGAAGCAGGAATTGGGAAAGGATGTCCTTAAAGCCGCATTCCCAGCGGGATCTCCTGCAGGGACACGCGGGTGACACCCGAGCGGGGCAGGGAGCGCCGCTGGAAACCTGCCCCGGGTGCCTCGGCCGGATCCAGGCGCTGCCACCCCCGGCCGGGCTCCGGGAGCGCTCCGAGCTGCTCCGTGTCACTGCGAGCCGCCTGACACGGCCGCTGGTGACAAAGCCGGTTAATGTCGCCGTGGCCCCGGGGCTGGCAGTGGCCCCGGGCCAGCGGAGGCAGCGGGAAGGGCTGCACCGACCTTGTTGGCTGAGCGAGCCCCGGAGCTTGTTAATGATCACAATTCATGATTACCGTTCATCATGGATACGATGACAATTATCATAGTCACAATGATCATTGTATGTGACAATTATCATTATCATCGGCTCTTCGGGGACCTTGGCACCTTCTGCCCATCCTGCTGCCCTGGCACCCTCCACATCCATCCTCTCCTGCGTGCCCGTGCCCAGCTGTGCCCGTTATCCACGGATTTCCCCGCATTTATCCCTCTCACTGCCCTCATCCACCTTCCCAGGTACTGCCCCAGGGCTCGAGGGGATCTTTAGGGGGTTTCTCCCTCTCCAGGGTTATCCTCACCCTCCTCAGGCGGGCAGGAGCCGCGAAAATCCCTCCTAGGGAGGATCCAGGGCCGGCCTGCAGAGCCCGCCTGCCCCAGAGGGAATTTTCTGACCCCCCCCAGCCCGGCTGGAAAACCTGAATATCACTGAGAAAACACAACTTTGTGAGGATGGCGCTGCCTCACGCAGAAATCTGTCCCCTCGAGGAGCGGGGAGCTGTCACGGAGCCCATGCCGGGCTCTGATCACGCAGCCTGGAGCGGTACCAGTCCCCGGGAGAGCCGGGATCGGTTCCGAGCCCAGCGTGAGTCACGGCGGCCCCGCCGCCATCCAGCCATAAACACTCCGGCTTAGGAGCCGCGTCCCAGTTTCTCGTGCTGTTTGCATTGATCTGCCTTCCAGGCTCTGCTTTGCTCCAGTTTTTAATGTATTTTCACCAGCCATTAGCCCAGAACGCAGCTCTGCCCCTCCCTCACTTCACAGCCGTGTTTTTGCCTAACTTTTCCCTAATTTTTTCCCCCTAAATATCTCGATTTGAGATCGCCTTGGTAGCAAAATCCTCACGGTTTTTTGGGACCCTCGCCACGACCCGGCAAAAGCGTCGGGAGCCTAGGGTTTGTGTCTCCCCAAACCAGCCCAATTATGGTCAAACTGCTGCAAAAACAGCCCCGAGAGCCTCCTTGACCTTCTGGAAGCTGCTCCAAACCCCCGGGAATGACCCTGAGCTTCACCCAGATGATTTCAGCGGTGATTTCTTGGGGGGTCTGGCTGTGTGGGGGGTGTTATTTCTTTCCACGCTGAGGGAAAATGAAAATGCTGAGGCACAGAAAGACTCTCACTTCCCTAAATCCTAATTATAGCACCCAGAGCTTTCGGGCTCAGCGGGTGCCCCGAGCCTCGTGCAGCCTGCGGGGGTGGGAAACTGAGGCACGGGAGTGCTGAGATGGATTTAAGGAGGTTTGGGGAAAGGTTGAGCTCCTCCTGAGTTTGCTCTGAGGGCGGTGCCACAGGATGGGGAATATTCCCTGTCCTTCCCCAGGTTTGCACAGGGAAAAAACCCAGGGAAAACTGGGGGAAAAATGGGATCCTGCTGCCTTAAAAGCTCCTGGTAGCTGCAGAGGAATCGGAGCCGCCAGTTCCAGCCCCAGCCCCGGCTCCCTCGGGGCTCGGCCGCGGTGACAAGGAGCGGGCAGGCGGGGACACGGGGCCGGGGCGAGCGGGGACACCGGCGCTGTGTCACGCCAAGCGACAGCCCCTGGGGCTGCCAGCGCCCACGAGCAGCGGCTCCGCAGCACCGCCAGAGCCGGGAAAAAAATGCCCAAATCCCGTTTGTCCCAAAGCCAACTTTCCGCTGGAAGCCACCAGCTGTCCCCCGGCCAGGTACAGGGACTTTGGCACGGGTTTGGACGCTCCCCTCATTAGTTAACACCTGATTAATTACCCTGCTGCCTCCCCTCCCATACAGATCTGGGTGTCCAGTCGCTAATGAACAACTCCAGCAATTAACTGCAGGGGTGAGTCCACTCCTAATTAGGAGCAGATTTAGGGATGAGCGCTGGGAGAGCTCTGGTTGGCCGCCGGTGCCTCCGCTCGAGCGCGGGCTGCGGATCCCAACCTGGGGCTTTTAATGAGTGATTGAGGAGTTGATTAAGCCCGAACTCGTGCCGGAGATGCCGTCGGGGGTTCGTGTCAGCGAGGCCGGCTGGGAATCGGGCTGGATCCAGCCGGGATCCAGCCGGGATCCAGCCCTGCTGGGGGTGGTTTTGCTGCCAGGAAAGGAGGTGCAAATGTGGCCCGGAGCTCCAGCGAGGCTCTCCATGGCTGGGAAGCTTTTTACAGCGGCTTCCAGATTCCCAAAATATGCTTAAATATCGGAATTTTCTGCGTTATCAGAGTGTCACCTGAAGGGGGGACAGGGCTGTCCCTTTTGGATGTTTGGGTGCCCCTGGCTGGGGTCTGCCTGTCCCTTTGGGCAGCAGCTTCGCCTCTGCTGCTCCTGGCTGTCCCTGAGAAATCCCAAAGAAAAGGGGATGCTGCATCCATGTCCCCTCCCTGTCCCTTCCCTGTCCCCGGCCAGGTTGGGCCAGTCTCTTGTCCGGGCTCTGTTAGGGCTGCTCCCCCTTTGTGGGGGTTCCCAAAGGAGTTGGGAACGGGAATTTTCTGTTTTTCTCTGCAGATCTCCCCTGCTGGAGCACAACCCTGTGAGCCCCGTGCTGTGCCAGCACCAGAGGTGATGCTTTGTGCTCCAAGGGTCAGTCAGGGCTGGGGGGGCAGATGGAAATTTAAAAAAACCCAACACCCGAACACCCTGGAGAAGAAAGGGCCAGAGAGCAGCTGAGTTTCCATCAGCGCTGGGTCACTGGAAAATCTGAGTGGGGAGCGAGAGGGAAGGAGCGAACTTCTGCTTCCTGAGGGAGGGAGGGGCCATCGCGGGCTGAGAGCGCTGCCGCGGCTCGGGCCCTTCCCTGGAAAACACCCCTGGAATGAGGATCCCGGTCTGCTCCACACCCGGCACCGCGGGGCTGCTGCTGCTCTGCCGGGAACGAGGCACAAAGAGCAGCTGATGGGTCTGCAGGATGGAGCAGGGACACCTTCCACTGTCCCAGGGTGCTCCAAATCCCACAAACCCGGCCTTAGATTCTTCCAGGGATGGGGCAGCCACAGTTTCTCTGGGTATTCCATCCCAGCCTCTCCCACCCTCCCAGGGAACAATTCCATCCCCATATCCCATCTATCCCTGCCCTCTGGCAGTGGGAGCCATTCCCTGTGTCCTGCCACTCCATCCTTTGTCCCAAGTCCTTCTCCAGCTCCTCTGGAGCCCCTTTAGGCCCTGGAAGAGTCTCCAAGCTCTCCCATCCAGAAACCTCCTCCAGATGCCTGTTCAGGCCAGGTGCCCTCTGCCACCCCTGAAACTCCCCTGCACAGGGGGCTCTTCCCAGGAACCTTTCCATCACCAGGTGTTCTTCTCTGGGATCCACCAGCAGAGCACACCTGGACGCAGGTTTGGCTCTGGGGCACACCTGGACGCAGGTTTGGCTCTGGAGCACACCTGGACTCAGGTTTGGATCTGGGAGCACACCTGGACTCAGGTTTGGATCTGGGAGCACACCTGGACTCAGGTTTGCATCTCTACCTCCAACACCTACCCCGGACGTTTGCCCCATCCACCCCCAACCCTCAGCACCCCAATCCTGCAGAGATCCTTCATCCCTCATCCCCTGGGCTGCACCATCCCCTTCCCGGCCTTTGGGGATGGATTCTTCCTCCCCTCCTGCCCTTCCTTGGTTGTTTTTTTTTTCTTTTTCCCCGGAGCTCAGCCTCATCCATCGCCATCCTTTACGGATGAGATGTGTCATTCCTGACCCGGGTTCACCGCGAGCTGCCAGGGACGCTGCCAGCCCAGCCCGTGGCCCTCGTTAGCTTAATTGCTCCTCGGGAGGCCGGGACGTGCCAAGCCCGGGGCCTCCCGGTGCTCCGTCACCGCCTGTCACGTCCTGTGTGGAGCGGGGGAAAAAAAGGGAGAAAACAGCTCGGTGGCACTGGAAATGAAGGACAGGTTCCCACGTCAGAGCCGGGAGCTGGCATCGGCTGTCGCGGCAGTCAGCGGGGACAGGAGCTGCTGGCGTCACCGCTGATGTGCGACACAGGCACAGCAGGGAGGGAGGGAGGGACATCTGTGCCAGAGCCGCAGCGCCGACCCTCCCGCCGGTGCCGGGGATCCGAGGTGGTTCCTGCAGCCCGACGTGTTCCCGGAATCCCAGCGAGGCTGGAGAATCCCGCCAGGATGGTGGAGTCCGAGCTGTGTCCGGTCCCCGCGTTGTCACCCGGAGTGTCACACCCACGCCTTCCTTGGACACCTCCCGGGGTGAGGACTCCAAAGCTCCCCGGGCAGTTCCAATCCTGCCTTTTCCAGGAAAAATTCCTCCTGGCGACCAACCTGAGCCTCCCCTGTGTGGGGGCAGTGCCCTGCCCAGCAGGTGGCTGGGATGTCCCTGTCACCTTCCCAAGCAAGACAGGGATCTGCTTTTCCAAGCCTGGATTTCCTGGGTGCCAAAAGCTCGGTGTCCACGGGGAAAATCCTGCAGGGAAAACCCTACAGGGAAAATCCTGCAGGGAAAATCCCACCAAAAATCAGGGAAAATCAGCTTAAGAGTGGCTGTGTCCCAAATCTCCAGCTCTGCCAGGTGTCCCAGGCCATGGCTGCTTCCCAGTGAATTCCCATCCCTTTTCCCAGCGTGTCCGAGCCCTGCTGCCGGCTCTCCTTCCTCCTGCTGCCGTGAGCTCCCGCTCCTCTCCCTCTCTCCCTGCCGTGACTCATTTCTCTCTGGCCAAGAGAAATTCTTGGATTTTTAAAGAAGCCCTGGGAGGGTTTCATACCTGCAGAGGCTCCCAGTAGGTGCCACGGAGCTTTTCCAGGCTGGACAAGGGCATGGGAGGAGGGATGGATGGATGGATGGATGGACGGATGGATGGATGGATGGATGGATGGATGGATGGAGATCTCAGCACCCAGGACCCAGCAGATGGAGCCAGGTTTGGATCTGGGAATGGGACCCCACACTGGTGCAGGATTGTCCCTGTGCTCAGCCGGGATGGAGCAGGGATGGGATTTTCCAGCTGCTGCAAAGTCCCTGGGAAGCACAAACCAAGCACTGGGAGGGAAAAGGAAAATATTCCAGCCTCAGAAGGATCCCTGTAGGTTCTGAGGAGCCCCAGCCTCCCTCTGGCCCCAGGGCTCTTTGTGGAGGTGGGAACG